ACGGTCGGCGCTCGCCGTGGAGCAAAACCGAACCTGGGGCCGCCCGCCTGACGGTAAGCGCTTTGCCCAGACCACGAGGCCATCGGATGATACCGGGACCAGGGGCAAGCGCGAAGGGCTATGACGGATCCGGCCAAGCGGCTGCGAGAGGAGAAAAAATCTCACGACGGCGACCGCCGGTTTCGGTGAACGAGATTTTTAGTGTACCTTTTAATGCCACTTAAGAGTACGATACGATACTGACATATTAAGATACCTTTAAGTAAATGTTCCAGTACTTACCGTTGAGAGATGGCAGCAACTGAGAACCAGAAAAACTCAGCAAAAGCGATGCGCAGGTCGGAAAATAAATATTTAGAAAATCGCTTTAGGAATAATTCTCCACAATTCTTTCACCTCCGCCCCCAAATTTGGTGGCGGCCGGTCATTCTGGTCCGAGTTTGGCGTCGGCCCGTGAGGATTTGGTGCGCTGGTGTAAGCCAGATTATATCATTTAATCAAAAATTATGCAGGCACCTAAAAACGGCCGATATCCCGCAGACCGGGATTCTTGACGATGAGACGAGAACCGTCATGGCACAACCCAGATGTGGTGTTCCGGATATGCGATGCATGGCCGCCGGGAAGGGAAGCGTTTAAGTATATTAACGGGCTCATGCCAACCGAAATTCAGATGATTCAATAACTTAGATGCTCACAATTAAATTTTGTTGATTGGCCGTGAAAATCCGTAACTTTAACTTTAATTTTTTCAGGAGCCCCACTAAAGTGGAAAAAGAACGCTTTGACGTACTCGATCGATAGCTACTCACAAGATTTGTCAAACAGCATCCAAAAGTATGGTCAACAATTGTTTATTCGAATCTTCGCAATTTTCTTAGGAAAACAGTGCAAGAGGCTTTCCAGTTCTGGGCCGCCGTCTCGCCGCTGACGTTCCGGGAAGTGGCGAGGGAGGGAGATATCAGGGTGGGTTTAGCAAGTTTTTGACATCACAAAATTGGTAGGGACTAAAGGGACAGGGAAATAAAAGCTGTAAAACGGTTGTCCGGAAGCTCTTAAAAAGCCTTGCGGAACCAGTGCATGGTGCAGAAGATCGTGAAGAACGTGAAATAGACCGTTCCTAAACCTGGGTGATCAAATTTGGATAAGATTGACCTCGCTCTCTCTCTCTCTCTCTCTCTCTCTCTCTCTCTCTCTCTCTCTTTCTCTCTCTCTCTCCCTCTCTCTCTCTCTCTCTCTCTCTTTCTTTCTCTCTCTCTAAGGCTCTCTTTCTCTATCTCGCTCTCTCCTTCTCTCTCTAACGCTCTCTCTCGCTCCCTCTCTCTCTCTCTAACGTCTCTCTCGCTTTCTCGCTCTCTCTTTAACGCTCTCTCTTTCGCTCTCCTTTTCCCCCCTCTCTCTCTCTAACGCTTTCTCTCTTTATCCCTCTCTCTTTCTCTCTCTCTCTCTCACTCTCTCTCTCCCTCTCCTACCTGGCAACCAAGCCTTGCAACAAGCTCCCTGGCGAAGGTTCGTGATCCGGCAAACTTTTGGTGGTCCCCCATTCTCACCGCCTTCGATTAGGACTTGATGCTCAGGCTAGAATTTTAAAATTTATTCTGATGTCCCTGATAGGTACCTCGGGAGCCATGGGAAGGCCATCCTTCTCCCTCAGCACCTTGCTGAGAATGATTCCAATCAGGGCAAAGCCGGTGTAGAGATAGCAGACGATCAGCCACTCGTAGGCCGCTAAAATTAGATCGTTTAGATGTTGTTTTTTACTTACTTGCAGCCTCCCTGGGGATTGAGGACATTGCGAATGCGCCCTAAAAAATATTTCTCAATTTTTTGACTAACTTACCACAAGGGTGGAGCCCAGAAGCCCCAAGCCAGCCAGGAAAATTCGGATACGCGTATCAGAACTGAAATTAAAGCAGCATAAATGTGATAATTTTTGGATATTACTGATGGACGAAGAGGGCCAAGCCGGCTGCAGCGACAAACAGAAGGGTTGGGATGTAGATTTGGGTGAAGATTTTTTCTGAAAAATCGTTGTACTCTCTCTTCCTCTCTCTCTCGCTCTCTCTTTCTCTCTCTCTCTCCTCTCTCTCTCTATCTCTCGCAACGCACAGTCTCGACATGCAATCCCGCTTGAAAACAAATGTCGCCCGCAGACAAGCGTATTTTCCGGTATTCGTAACCGAGGTGCAAAAATCCGGAGTTACAGTGTTTAGTCGGAATTCCGGCATCATGCCCTAAATTAATTCAAATAACGATTTTTTTGTCCCTTGAACTCACCGACACCCCGGCCCTCAGCTGGATCGGGTTCGCCTCCTTCCATTTGTAATCTATAGTGAATAAAACGACTTAATTTTTGAAAATCACCACGTACCAACATCCTCTGTTGTCCACCCATAAGAGGCAAAGTCGACGTAGCATACATGCACATCCAGGGGGTAGTTCTACAAAGCTTCGAAGCATCATTTTTTCTCCTACCTCCATATCAAAGATACAGGCCGTTTTGAGTGAGAGGCGCTCGCTCAGCATCACACTCCCATCTAAGATTTTTTTAGCTTTCGCAAAATTTTGGTGTACTTGTGTTGATGATGATTAGGGAATTTGGGTTCGGGATTTCGTGACGGGCGGCGGTGCGTTCGTTCTAAACATGGTATTAGGATGCGGGATCGATAACATTATTGTCTGGTAATAAGCAGGAATTTTAGGAGGTTAGGTGGCGTTGTTTTGCAATTTTGCATGAGACAGAGCTCATTCCATAGAGCTTCAAATTCTGAACAATTCCCATCTTTTGAAAACTGATGGACGATTTGTATTCGATTTGTTTTGTTTCGCCTGTTTCCGATAAAATTCGCTTTGACAGGGACGATTTTGACCAAGAAACTTGAAACTTTTTCTCGAAGATCGTTAACGTTCAGATGTTATTGAGCAAGAAGACTTGTTCAGAATTTGAGGCTTTACCGAATGAACTATGTTGCATCGCAAAATCCCAAGTTCACCTGCAAACCGCTCCTTGTCGGCTCTAGAAACGGAAATTGGGGCAAGCGCGTGCTAGGCATTTTAAAGGGGCCGTCAAGGTATTATTCTCGAGTCTGGATTATCGGGATTTTCCGCTATTTTGCCGCGACCGCGGCACGCTACGCATGCGTCGTTCGGCTGCCGTCGAAATCTTTAAACCGCTGCACAACAACAAAATTGGATAGGAGCGTTGCGTTTTGGCGGTGCAGCGAATCCATGTCTGCCCTATACCACATGCCTGGCCCTATTAAATAATGATGTTCGACATTTTTTGCCCCCACCTCTTTCCACCGTAACCTGACCCACCCAACCAGTTACCTGAATAAAAGTGTCCGGCATCCAAATCGTCTTCTCCTTCCCATCCCAGTTCATTCGAAAGTTTTTCGGCAAAGTCTCCCCAGCCACGGCGGCTGTATAGCCCAGTTGGGGATCCGACCACTCTTGCCGAAGCGTTATTTGGAATCTAAGCAGACAGTAAACGATATTCCACAAATTTATTACCCAATCTCATTCTTTTCTGCGTCCAAATACTCGACGTCACGCAGGAAGAAATTCACCGTGACCACGGCAGGGTTGTCTGAAATTGAAATTAGGTGATCCCATGATCAGGAATTTTTGAAACGTATTTTCGACCTACTAGATGATCCGAAGCCCGGGCGAATTTCAGGGTTGTAACTGTCGCCGTTCATTTTCAGGTTCGAGCTAAAAACGAATGAATATCGATTTTGCAATTCGTGGATTTTTACCCGCTAAACAAGTCCTTGATGGAACTGGCATCGGTAGACGCGCTAAAAATACCATGAATTAATTTAGTTTTAATAGAATCTTTTAATCTGGTTTTATTGGGGCCCTATAAGCATCTAGAAAGCGCTTTAAAACTCTATAAATATTTTTGCTACGCAACTTACGCTATGAAAAAGCCTAGCAGCAATGGTGCCTTTCCGAGGAACGGCCACATTTCCTAAAATAGCCATAATTAATGCAAACCACGCAAAGAAAAGGCCGAAATCCCGAGAATGAGGCTATAAAGCCGAGGTCCGGATACTCAGCCGGGGGCCCCCTCATAATTGGCTACAAGACCCTGCGTTTTTTTCAGGTGCGATTTGCGAGCGGTGCCCATGGCGACATGTATCCCTTTGATGGAGAAGGTGAGGGGAAAAACGGACTTTTTGAGCAAATAGTACCGTTGTTGTTCAGCGGAAATTTGGGCCCTCGGGTCTACTATATAGCTTCGGGGGGTGGGAGAAATTAACGGAAATTAGGGTGAGATGTCTAGGTTGTTATATTGAGTTCGGATCAGCTGAGCGTGAGAGAAAAAGAGCGAGCGAAAGAGAGAGAGAGAGAGAGAGAGAGAGAGAGAGAGAGAGAGAGAAAGAAAGGGAGAGAGAGAGTGAGAGAGAGAGAGAGATAGAGAGCGAGAGAGAGGGAGGGAGAAAGGGAATAAGAGTGAGAGAGAGAGAGCGAGAGAGAGAGAGAGAGAAAGAAAGGGGGAGAGAGAGTAGAGAGAGAGAGAGAGAGAGAGAGAGGAGAGAGCGAGAGAGAGGGAGGGAGAAAGGGAATAAGAGTGAGAGAGAGAGAGAGAGAGAGAGCGAGAGCGAGCGAGAGTGAGAGAGAGAGAGCCGAACATCCTGCTAGTTGAAGAAAAAATAATAATGCTGATAAATAAAAATGAAAAAATTAAATAAAAGCTGATAAAGAGCGCAATGCTAGTAAAATCAAAAATATATAAAAAAATTGGCGATTTTAGGCGGAGTTCTCGCCCACGCCATGTTCCCCGAAGCGGGTGGCCTCCATTTTGACGAGGATGAAGCCTGGGCCTACAAAGAGACGGCCAAATTACGGTATTTTTATAGCAATATCTTAAAATTTCTATCCTCATTTTAGACAAGGCCATACCGACTTGCTCTACGTCGCTATACACGAAATTGGGCACACGCTCGGGGTGGACCATATTCAGAACAAGGATGCAATCATGTACTTTAGCTACCAGGTATGTAGAGGGCAATTTAAATCAATAAAATAACGTATGAATATAAAAAGTTAAAAGACGAAAATTTGAGGGTGATAACAAGCAATAAAAAGCCAGGATATATTTTCGCGTTTTAGCAACCGTTGAGCCGATTCGGAAGTTATATTGAGCCCGAACTTCATGCAGCAGATATTGCAGCGATTCAGAAGCTTTACGGTATCTTTTTTAAGGTTTTGATAGCGACAAGGACCGTTTTTAGACTTTGTAAATAGATAGACTATGCTCCAAAACCGATTTTTTCATTCTAAAATCAAAATCAGAATAGCTTGCGGACCTACTTGTCACTTTAAATTAGAAAAAGCGAGCTAGCAGAGAGCATTAGGGAACATTTCAATGCCCTTCATTCGAGCCATTCAGGGAAAACCCTCCGGAAACCCCAGCAGAAACAATTTCGGCGGAGACGTCGAAATTGGCTCAAACGCGGATAACACACCAGGTACACCCCGTATTTTGTTGTGGTTTGTAGTCGGTGTTGAGTCGCGGTAACTACCACGAGAATGCCCCCTCGAGTTGATGACGACGAGGAGATCTTTATCGAGAGAAATGCAGAGGGCAGAGACCGATACAGAAGTCCGATGCCATCGAAATGTTGATAAGCCAGAAATTTTTAGCCCGAACGACGCCCAGCCCCAGAGACCGGCATAGGCATCATCACCACCATGGTATTAGGAGCATTTTGTGATTGACTAAAATTTTTAGGAGTGGAAATGCCTAACCTTTCCGTTAAATTTTACCAACTAAAAGCTCAATAAAGAGTTCAAATTTTCAGGGCATCACCACAATCACGACCACAGCCATGGAAGCGGTCGTCTTCAGTGCCCAAGCCATGTCGATTCGATGGCTGTTGGTAAGGGAAAACCTGCTTTAAAGGGAGAGCGACAAACTGGCAAGAGTTCGTCGTAGTCAGTTCTTTGTTCTATTCGCATTCTCTGATTTTGTCTGTTTCTCTCTAGCTACCACAATTTCCCCCTCTCTATCTCTCTCGCTCTCTCGCTCTCTCCTCTCTCTCTCTCTCTCTCTCTCTCTCTCTCTCTCTCCTCTCTCTATGCGTCATACAAACTCGGAACTCATATTACGTGAATTTCCAGATGGCGACTTCATCTTCATCTTCGAGGGCCAATACGTCTATGAAATCCGGAACAAACGAGTCCATAGCGTAAGTTACACCTTCTGATTAGCTTTCATAGATATCCGCTAAAAATCTCCGGAAAAATCCGATCAAGCCACTCTTTTCCAGAAAAAGCGCATCACCGAACTTTTCCCGGCAGGGCCACGAACTATCGAAGCCGCTGTTTTGGATAGGTCTACCAAGAAAATGCTGTTCTTCACAAGATCACACGTAAGTAAGGGATTTTTTAGGCAAATACAATTTTTATTAGTTTGGCGGCGGCGACGTCTACGCGTACTTCCACTCGGCTATGTTCGGAACCTACGTGAAAGCGTATGAGCACCATTTCATGAACTACCAACCTTTGGCCGCGGCTCTGCCTTGGACCGAGGGACGGACGATACTGCTGACGGTAGGTAGAGAGAGAGTGAGCGAGGAGAGAGGCGAGATAGAGCGAGAAAGAATACCATAAAAGTCTAGAGCTCCAACCACTTCGCCGTCTACGACGCTAAAAATGGCCATTCCTCCGGCTTCAACGCGATTGATGTCGATGAATTCCCAACTGGAGTTAAGGTGCGTTTTATACTTTATGAATATTTGCAACTATTTTTTAGGGTGCAATCTCCAAGTCCAACAACGAATATCTACTTTTCACCCGAGATCGTGTCGTTCACTACGATGTCGATGCAGAGCGTGTTCTCAAAACGTGGAATTTGAACGAATATTTAACGTGTTGAATAAAGTTCATCAAAACGACATTGTTTCTTGTACAATTATGTCGTCATGCATTGTGTTGTTTATCGCTTAGTAAGGATAAACATCCGACTCCGAGACGTCCACCCCGGTGTGGGCATCATAAAGACCATATGAATCGCGCCTCACGTCGTCGCCGTTGCGCCGGTCGAGGCCTATCTGAAAAACGGTATTTTGTAAAGACCAATAATTTTAATAATTTGCTAATAGAGTAGTTTAATAATAGTGGATGCGCATTGATATCAGATAGTAGAAAAATGCCGTACAGCAAAGCATATTTTTGATTTAAAAGTCTCTTTCTGAGTTCAGTTTTCAATTTTACAGTAAACGAATTCAGCTTCGTTTTTCTAATTTCAAATTTAAAACAAACTACAAACTTGCTAGAGCTGGTTACAATTCGCAATTGGATGTGGAGGATTAATGTATTTCAAGAAAGCTTACGCATGTCATTCCATCCTTCATCGCCTCACCCTTTCGGTCATCCGCGGGTTTTTCGATAACACCCTAAATTTGGTGACGTTTGTAGTATGTATTTGACGTGTTGAATCCGATCGTATTGAAAGATCGTTTTTCGACTTTAAATATGATATTTCACGAACCTGCTGTGGCTGGAAGGCGTCAACATCAGGGTCTTGGATCTTGTGATCATCAATGCCTGGTTGCTCCGTCGTCTTGAAGGACATTGTTTAGTTTTCTAAGATTATCGGTATAGAAAAACAAAGCTAATTTAATGGTCAATCAAGTCAAACGCAAATTCCCAAAAAGCTAAGAAGAAAAATGTGGATGCAATGACCAGTTTTTCGCCCGGACCGGCCCATTCTAATGCAATGCTCAATAGCTGGGTCACGCTGTTTTCTAGCCGAGCGTGGAGAGTGTTTGTTCCGCCTCGTCCTGCCGCTCTTTTCTTGTTGACGACCCCCAGAGGTTTGCATATTTCGCAATAATTTTTGGGGAGTTACTACCTCTCTGCTGGAATAGATATCGGGCTTTTTATCATTGGTTTCATTGGTTATATAATCAGGTCGAAAATAATTATCGATCCTAACTGTACTTTGTAAAAATTAAGGATTCAAGGAAAAATGCATTGTTTATTGTACAGCTATGTGCAAATTGGCAATTGTTGTTTTTTTGACATTTAGTAGAGGCAGATCTCTTCTTCGGAGACTCCCATCCCGGAGTGAGCATCATGAAGGCGACCTGACGAGTCCGACATCACCTCATCTCCGTTGCGCATATTGATTCCGACCTAGAAAAGAAATAATTTAAATTTTGAAGGTGCGCGAATTAAACGCGATCTAGTTACCGTCATTAAAATATGCATTAGATATCTATTGCTATCTATATGCTACTTCTATTAAAGAAAATTGTATTACGAAAAGGAAAAACCCCCAAAAACATCAGAAACTTACAGATTCCTTATCATCCTTGATGGCTCCGCTCTTGCGGCCGACGTCGCGCCTGTCGCGGTCGCCCTGAAACTGATTATTTATGGCGTTTCGCATTAGAATAATTTGTTGACAAACTACAATGTGACACTTAAAACTGCATAATTTTACTTAGAAATTAGGTCACAAACCTCTGGCGGCTGGAAGGCATCAACATGAGGGTCGTGGATCTGGCGATCTCGGCGTCCCGGGGTTGTTCAGTGGGCATGAAGGACATTTTCGGTTTTTTCTGAAACTATTTACATAAAAAAATCCTTGACAGTAGCAAAAAAGCATCGACAAAATTTAACATTTTTTAAATAGGTTTTATTAAATGGCAGAAAAATCAAGTGTGCAAAAATTACCGAGTCAAGATTAAATTTAGAAGAAAAAGGATTAAAAAGTTAAAAAGCTATATTTAAAGCTAAGCAGGGCAGCTTTTCCTAAGCTATCCAGAGTTAGGAAATATGAGGACCAGGTCCTTACGGCCACTGCTAAATAGAAGAGTGAGGGTGTTTTCCCTACCATGGACGTGTTTTTTCGGCTAGTCCGGCTGCACTTTTCCTTGTTGACGACCCCAAAGAGGCTTCCAGGGCGTTCTTTCTATGGAAAATTTCCCAATGCTTATGGATCTCGAGCTTTCAATGTCGTAATATTAATTTTTCTGCTAAATTGAGTCTTCAAGGTATCGACCCGTTCAATTTTCATCTTGTAATAATGGTTATAACGGCAGGGGAACAAAAAAAATTTGAGTGATTTCATCATGAAACGTAATGATAAATGTAAACTGATCGATGCCATTTTTTAGAGTTTTTTCACAATGAAATCATTTAAGGGTTAAAACGTGATTCAACCATGCTTGAAGTTTAGTCCGAAATGCATTTGACTCACTTAAATATTCTTTAAGTTGTTAACCATTTTGCCATTCAAATAATTTAGACCGACTTTGGTAGGAATGCATTTATTCAGCGTATTTACAAAATTATACAAACGTTGAAGCATTAATGATAACGGCAGCTTATTCAAATCGAGCCAGGTTGGCTTCGCGGACGACTTTTCCGGATTGGGTGCCCTCGAACTCGCCCGGCTTTTTCTCGATCACATCTTCACCAGTGCGCATGCTGCGGCCAATCTGAAAAACGGTAGCTTGCAACTGATTAGACCGTAAAAATTCGATATCCACAGTTCAAAAACTCCACTAGAATGAAATTTTGAATGCTTACCACGGCATCGGGTTCCCGGTTGGTGCTACGGGGGCGGCCTCCATTTTCACGGGGCTTGTTCTGCAAATTGTTTATATTTTTATCTTACTTCTCGTTTTATTGTTACAAGTGGGAAAGTCTAAAAAACGTGAATCCTAATCTCGAAGTTTCATACAAAAATCCAACACATGCTCGATTTGAAAAACTAAACTTTTGACCGCTCGTTAACCTAATCAAGGTTTTTCGCTGAAACTGCAGTAAAACGGCTTAAACCAAATCTGGGTCATATTTTTTTTACCTCCTCGCTAATCGGGAGCTTTGGCAAGGTAGGGGGAAGCATCGGCATTTTTCGGCGTCTGAAAACAATGAGTTAAATTTTTGTTTTAAGGTGCTAAGCATAGAGAGCTCCGAAAACAACGAAGTAGCGACAAAATGTTTCGGATCGGAATAACAAAAAGATAGAGGTGAGGTCGGTAGGCAAAAATAGGTCGGGGGCCTACTATTTACGGCCCGCGGCCTGGGAGCCCTTGTTGTTTGCGGGTCTTTTGGGGGTTGTCTTTCTCTCTTTCTTTCTTTCCGCTGCACTCTGATGTGTTTACGGGTATCTCTGCGTTTTCACAATCCTGCACTATCAAGCTCGGTTGCTTATTGAGAATCTCGGGGTTGGATGACGTTTAAAGGGACCGTAAAGTTGAGGGTTAGAAAGACGACAGATGTCGTTCTGAGAGAGTACGAGAGAGAACGATAGCGAGACATAGACAGAACGCGAGATCCAGAGATAGAGAGTTACAGCGATAGCTCGCGCCTGAGGATGACAAAGAGCGAGCAGAGAAAGGCAGTAGGAGAGAGCGAGAGAGAGAGAGAGAGAGAGAGAGAGAGAGAGAGAGAAAGAGAGGAGAGAGCAGCGAGAGAGTGATTGAGAGAGAATGAGATAGATACTTTCTAACATATTTATTCTGTTTCCAACTTCTGACATCGATCCCAAATGTTTGTTTTCACGATCCCATAAACGCCAAATAATGATCACGCCCATAAAGTTCAAATCCCCCGCGCCCTAAAAAAGCTCATCCCAGCCCCCCTTCAGATTACCATCACAATAACATCGCCAGCTGGCGAAATGTGTTGACGGTATACGGTGGGGAATAGTGCATTTTAGGGGTAGAGCGACGCAAATGAGAAAGAAAGAGGGAGAAAGAGAGCGAGAGCGAGAGAGAGAGAGAGAGAGAGAGAGAGAGAGAGAGCGAGAGAGAGAGAGAGAGAGAGAGAGAGAGAGAGAGAGGGAGAGAGAAAGAGCCAGAAGGGGTGTTTTCCTCCCGGGACCCCCAGCCGGCTCTGTGTTTTCTTGGTCAAAAAGGCGAAAAAGAGGCCGCTGGCCGGCGCGCCGAAATCGTCCCCCATCTTTTGGAGATTTGGTGCACTTATTCGAGGGTTGGTCGGTGTATAAAAGACGGTCAGGTTGCCTGGGTAATCAGCTCAGGTTCTGGCAGCGAATTGTTTCTACAATAACTGGCTCGCTATTTTGCTCATCGAAACTCGTGGTCTGATAAAATCTAATTTTTTTCAAACAGTTTTAAAGTTCCTGCCCGATTCCGACTTACTGATAGATTCTGTTTCATTTTGTTTTTATATACCTCTAAACTGCTATTTTTTGCAGAAAAAAAACCGATAACCATGAGCAACATCACCCGTGACGACCAGGGACGCCTCCACGACGGCAAGAAGCAAGACTTCATGTCCCAGCAAGACCAGGTAAAAATCGTGTTTTTTTCCGTTCTTCGCTACCGTAGCCTGTTACCTTTTTAATCTGTTGAGCTATTAGGTATTTATTCATTACAATTCCAGGTCCAGCAGGGTCTCCAGGGCCTCAACCAGACGGCCCCCGGGGGCATGCAGGCCCGCGAGCAACAGCAGCGCGGTGGCCAGAACCTTCAGCGCGACATCCGGATGACCGGCCAACAGGACAAGGTCGGGTTTACTGGATTCCTTGACGAAGCCTCGAACGACGAAGCCAGGGATTCGAACCCGGGTGCTATGTCTGAGCCAAACGCCTTACCAACTGAGCCATGGTGGTACCCGACCCTTTAACCACAAAATTATCATAATTTCGTTTAATAAATCACAATTTCCAGGGGTTTTTCGCAAATTTTTGTGATGAGCCATCTAAAAAGATGATGCATTGATAGGATGTTGAAAAAAATTTCTGGAAATCGAAAAGAAAAATAGAAAAATGGAAAAATTTTTGACCTTGAGAAAGTTGTTTTCGACCATTCTATCATTAAGGAATACTTAAACCAAGGCCTAAAATACTATAACTAGTTTTTGAACAATTTTAATCGTCCTATTTCAGCTCGGCGGCCAGGACAAGAAAGAATGCCAGGGCTCCGACTCGTGCGGACCCCGCGAGGGCAAATGCGACAAGGGCCAGTGCCACTAATGGTTGGTTATTTATTATATTAATTTCTATTTTGTTCACAGAATTTTATTACGTCGATTAAACTATACCTTTTTCAGCACTCGCCCCGCACTCCCGCTGCACATACTGTAACCAACTCTTCCCTACCACCCGCAAACGTCTCGAGACCTCCAAAATTCACCCTGCCCTAAAACGATTGCGTACATAAACGTCTGCACAAGCAATTTAAAATTTTAACACGTGGAAACCGCCAAATACACGAGGAAATTATTAAATTCAACATGATATAAAATAAATTTTAAATTAAAAATTGAACATGATACGCTTGCCTTGCGGGTCCTTGAAACGCCATTGAATGCGATCAATGTGAGCTTATTTTGCCATAGAAAAGCCTGCAAATTTAAGCTTAAAAACACTAAAACCACTTTTTTTGTAGCAGCAGCACCGAAGGGAGCAAAAAAATGTTCCAGCCACGTTTTTTGCGACGGTACCAACTTAATTTTCCACCCTCTCTGTAGAAGTACTTACAGTCACTGGCGTAGGTGTTGAATTACATCCGAGTGTGAGGTACCGGAGTTAATTTTTAAAGCTGGATTCACAGGCAGGGGGCGCAGCCAGAAAAAAAATTTCGGGCTGGGGCCGTAAAATTTGTTGTAACAAAAAATTGTTACATTAGCAAAAAATTTGGGAAAAATAGGTTGCAGAGCATGAAAAATAATCTTAAAAAGCTTAATAAATAGCTAGCTTTTCAAAAAATTGGAAAGATAATTTAAAACTACCGTAGCTCAGATTGTGCAGAATTGCTGCAATTTTCTGAAAGCGCTAACTGGTAGTCGTTAATGTAAAACTACGTAAAACATCAAAAAAAAAATCCCGATGCCGTTCCCAAAATAGCTAGGTTCTGGTCGATGCAAAAAATTTCCAACGCCATTTTTTCAGGCCGTTTTTGGAAGCAAAATCTTTCATTTGCCAACCATCTCCTGTAATTAAACTTTACCACACATCGACTCGTCCGGCCTTACGCAAACCTAGTTTTTTTCTAGTTTTCCTCCCCTACGGAATCAAAGCACGTGCCTGAATGGGCGGAAAGACGCCTGCGCTGCGCTGCCCAAACCTAGTAATTTCTAGGTTAATTAAGGGTTACGAGATGTACAGTCCACCCCACATACACCCCAGCCCGTCCATCCTATGAATTGTAAGGACCTTGGCGGAATACGAATATAAATACGGGATACTGTGGGGTTCTTTAAGATGTTAGTAACCTCCGCGCTGGAGACGGCCAATTTCTCGCCGAGCCTTCCGGATCCATGTCCAACGATGGGTGGAATGTCGACTACGAGGATGCGAGGGCATGTGTATACTTATAATTGTTCTTATACGATACAGTAGATTCGGCTACTGCCATTGCGAAGGCATCATTTTATTCGATTTTAATCAATTTTCCTGGCACACAATTGATATAAAAATTTCGACACGAAATGGCAGGACTTTGCAGCGTCTTCAGTGGCGTCTCCAGGAACCGCCACGGTAACTAATGATACGATACCCCCGATCGCACAAAAAATGTACATCGCGTGTTGCGTAGCTTTCCTGGCTACTGTATCGCACAGCCAGACTGGCTTATTAACTTAGGAATCCTACAATGCCATAATTGCAGGGTGCGGCAAAAGTATGGTTGCGGGCTTTTGCCTCAAATCTGATTAGCGACAAAAAAATTGGGAAGTTTTGTCACCTGAGTTAGCTTCAGACAGGTCTAGGGCAGCAATTTGCTTTTCAAAGTTTCTTGGAATCATGATTTTTGAGCGAATTGATTACATGGGTAAACGTCATTACTTCGAAAAGTCATTTCTTCGAAACGTCATTACTTCGAAAAGTCATTTCTTCGAAACGTGATTACTTCGAAAAGTCATTTCTTCGAAACGTCATTACTTCGAAAGGTCATTTCTTCGAAACGTCATTACTTCGAAAAGTCATTTCTTCAAAACGTCATTACTTCGAAAAGTCATTTCTTCGAAACGTCATTACTTCGAAAAGTCATTTCTTCGAAACGTCATTACTTCGAAAAGTCATTTCTTCGAAACGTCATTACTCCGAAACGTCATTACTTCGAAAAATATGCTAATTTGGAATGTTCATATCACGAAATTCATGACACTGACGATAAAACCATTGCGTAGGTACCATATGCCTATTCTATTAAGGTTATTACTGTGTAGAGTTTCGTCTGTATTAGGATTGCTAGTTACCTCATCTCCACGAATTATTATTTTGGTTATAATAGTCCTTGCATTCAATCACTGAAGCATCACGATGTTTGCCTAAAAATGTCCGTGTATATTTTGATGCTGTCTGAAGTGATATCAGAAAATGTTCGTACTAACCAACTAAAACATCGAAAAATCTGGGGGTAAAGTAAAAATTTGCCGATTTTTTTCATGCGACGTATAAAAAACTCGATCGAATAAACGGACCGGTAGAGGCAGAATGGTGTCAATTAGCGTACGTGCTATGCATGTTTTTCGAAGTAATGACGTTTCGAAGTAATGACTTTTCGAGGAAAACTTTTCGAAGTAATGATTTTCGAAGTAATGACTGGCAACCAGACTGCGTGCCACCATGACTTTTCATATGTGTTCCTGGTAGCATTTGCTTTTTTCTCCTTCGTCCAAAATGGAAATCGTATAATTTTGTGGTTTGAAGGAGTTATAGCCTCAGCCATGTTTGACGAAAATCAGCTAATCTGGCCGGTTTCGCGAGAAGCTTTGGATTTTTTGGGTTTTTAGTTTCTTAAGAGGTTTCATACTAGTATGCTTCCTGTTTGCTTATTTTAATGTACATGATGCGCTAAATCCTGATAGCTATCCACCTCTCGTTTGAAAAAATTTATTTTCCATTTGCAAGCCGTCATGGAAGCTTATGTTTTCGAGCCGGGTCAGGATTACTTGGCTCCAACTTCGGAAATATATAAAAAGTATCATGGATCAACCAGAGAAAAATTAGCAAGGCTATTATTGATTTGCGGACGACACAATCTCGCTTTTGCATGTAGGGCGGCCATGTGCGGCGCACTGGGTTTGCCTCTTCTTTCAATAGGGCTCCCTCGAAAAAGGAGCCGCAACATTCTTTGGTTGGTGGTTTCTCAGGCAGAGTTTTATCTGCTCTTTCAAATGAAATAAAAAGCTTGGCGTAGATACCATTCTTTGACCACCTGGAGAGCGTCTAAAGCAGTTTTTAGGCTTGAATTTGCAGGATTTTTGGAAAAAGTTGTCCTCGCGACAAAAAAAAAGCAAAAATTCTAGATGTATCATAAATCTTATCATCAGATAAAGCATTAAAAGCTGCATAAAATAGATTTTTCACTAGAATATCTGTTAAATTTCCTCGCAGATACAGTCGGCGGAAGGTCGCGACAATACTTTTGCCGCACGCTGTACAGTCCAATTTCTTTCTAAGAAGTCGGGTTTATTGAATGGCTTAAAAACGTTAAGTGCCCCCCGATCTTCATTGTTGCCAAGCCGCGTGCCCAATTACCGTATCTACCCCGAACATATGCATTAATGAAAACATCTCAAAAATATCACCGACGAAACAGTACAAAATATGAACCCTTAAAGAGGCGGACCGGCTGCGATTATAAGGGCTTTCCTTCTACTCATTAGCTTTTAGTCATGTGGGTAACTTTCGCCCCGGAGACGTCCAACTTCTCACCGGGGATTCCGGATCCGTGCCCTGCCAATGTACACGTCGACTACGAGGATGCGAGAAATTTTGTCTATGCGTACGCTTACGATTGTGCCTATGCAATTCAATGGGAAGGGATGCAGGTGCGATTTCTAGGAGTTCCCTTTAAGGGGATAAGGCGGGCCCACGTAGATGAGGGCTCATCTTTACAGGGGCTCCGAAATGCCGAAAATTGAGTCACGGCGCGAAAACAGGTACCCCATACGTCGCAGACCTTTGTACACCCAGGGGTGGGGGAAGCTCGCTAATTTGAAATTCCCTATTGTCACCTCGAAATCACGTTCTCGGCTGTTTTTGGGCGAAAGTTGACGATTAAAATACGAAAACTTTTTAAAATAGAGTGAGGATTTCAGGAATGAGCTCAGTATCCTTGAATTATGATGTTTTCACAAGGAAATCGTGCAAAAACAATCTCGCGCAAAAATCGAAGGAGTCCCGCAGCGCCCGCTGGCAATTTGTCAGAAATCAAAGAGGCCTCCCAAAGAGGGCTTTGATTTGGCAGTTCGGAGCCCCTTTAATTGACACGTAGCGAACTGGGTCAGAGAGGGCGAGAGAGGGCGCCCAGGGGAGAGAGCGCAGAGACCCCCTTTCCCCCGGGTCACCGGTTTTTGGCTGATCCACGTGGGCCGTCCCGATCCCCTTAAAGGGATGCCGACGGCATAATCAATCGGTTACGCGCTGGAAAGAAAATGGCTCCGCGCCTCTCCCCAGGGCGCGCTCTCTGCCCTGTTGGCTACTTGCCAATTTGTTGAGGGGGATCGACACATGCCGTCGGCAGCCCTTTAAAGGGATCGGTGACGGCAAGAACGGGCGCACGCGCCAAGCTTCATTGTGCCTGTCCGTCCTCCGTATCTGTCTTTTTGATCAAAATATCGTACGCGTTGACCACGCAGCCTTTAATGTTTAATTTTGCAGGTAGTCAACCATCGAACGATGCTAAACTGGGAGCCCACGCCTTACGTTTGGATCTACGGGATTGTAAGTTTAGCTTTTCGAAAAGCGCAAAAACAAAACTACTAATAATACTTTAGTAATTGGGTTCAAGAGAACGACTAATAAAATCGTTAAAGCTTGTGCTCGTTATCGATATTTTGTTTAGATGGGAGCGCTCGGCCTCCTGGTCTGCTTGATCGCCCTCGGGTACCTGGTTCGATCTAAAAAACTAAACTACGGCGGCAAAGTGCTGCACATTGGATATTTGCTTTGTTGTGTCTACACGCACCTCAACTATTTTTATCGTATCGACTGCATTCTACGTTTTGACCCCGCTCAAGCTGTGAATAATCATACCTACAACAGGTTAGTGTAATCTATGGGTTATCCAGTTTTTTTGCTAAAAGATATCCTCGCCTAATTAATTTGGATGTTTTCAGCTTCCCCTGCCTAAACGTTGATGGCTATCCATTTTGCGGATTCATGCTGAACATTATATCGACCTCCCTAGTCGATTCGCTCAACTACACCCATTACGCAATGATATTCATCGCGCCCGTAAATCGGTATTTCCAATTTTAATAAATCCTCCGAATTATACTCCTTTAGTTTCATCGAGCTTGGCAGTACCTTAAAATGGAAGAAGTATCTCCTCGTCACTCGGCCAATCCTTCAAGTTTTCTTGCTAATTGTCCTCCCGGCATTGCCATTCTATGCGATGATTGGGCGTGGTGGGACCAAGAGATTACTGTAGGAAACGTTAAAACGGATAATTTAGGACAAGCTTATCATCTAGTACCGGAAAAACGGGGTCCAGAGAAGCTGAATTACTATGGGCACTGGTGGAATCCGGTTAATATGCGGCCATATGGGCACTTTCACCCTTGGCGTTGGGTGTATGATAGTGGACCTGGTATCGTTACAAATTTGCTATTAGCTTCAAGAAGCATTTTTAATAACGTTTCCGTAATCTACCATAGACCTATAAATAAATCCTGTAAACAAGAAATTACCTGTAATACAATCTTTAGCTCTCTTTTTCGCGATTGCTCCTCATACCCTTGCGTTTATCCTCCTTTTTATTATGATAAGAAAGACTGGGGTCAAGGTAAGTTTATCCATTAAAACGTTGAACCATTTTTAAACAAACTAATCAACAATTTAGAGTCTAAAATCTGCATTGACCCCTAGGAATGGTGATTATGTCCTGCAGCAGGTAAGAATTGTCCAAGAGATGTCGAGATTTTCGGTTATAAATGCTAATAAAACTTTTAAAAACGTATTCTACTAGATGCTCATCTCCCAGCTTCTCCTCTTCCTCGTCTGGCTAATCCAATCGGCCTACGGTCTATTCTACTACCACCCACCCACCGCCATCATGGAGCAATTCGTCTTCCAAATGGCCGGTCCGGTGCTGTTGACCATTGGAAATCCGTAAATTTACAAAGACCATACCGATCGGTTTTTTAGAATTATCCTGATCTACTTCTACTGGTCGAACGCTGGCACTGGACTCGCGAGAACATAACAATCATGCTAAAAAGAGGGAATTTTCGATAAAATTTCGGATTTCCGACTTCTGCCATGTTTCCAGAAGCCAAATATCCACACACAATACTCATAAAAATCGCCATCAGAAAGCGAGAGTGAGAGAGAGCGAGAGAGTGAGAGATAGAGAGAGAGAAAGGGGGAGCAGGAGCGGGAGAATGAGCGAGAGTCGGTTCTATAATTCTATTCTACCTGATTGTTTTAGAACAATTCTTATCTATTTCTACAGTTAAAACGAAAGAGCCACTGATTCCTAATGATCAATTACGATTTTGACGCGATTTTTTGACCGATTAGCACCAACGAAAAAATGTTCACGGCTTCGCACACCCTTTGCAAACACTACAGGCCGCCTGCAATAACGCGGTCATTTCCAAAACGCTGTTTCGAAGCCTTATCACCAGGTGAGGTGGTCAGAGCTGGGAATTGATTGCGCCCCGGAATTCCAGCATCCAGTTACGCTATGAAATTCGTGGTGCTTTTACTGTTTTATTTTGCCGTCTTAACTTACGCGCAAAATCAGGTTTGGCGGAACCGGGTCCACGTTTGATCGTATTTTTCTAGAATTGCCGAATAGATCGGCTACCTGCTGAATATTTTTCAACCGACACTCCGTATCGAAATTTTAGTAGCAGGTTCGAGGACTCGTCTAGATACGTTTAGATTGGTAATTTCAGAAGATTGGGCGGTTTTACGGTGCCAGATGGTGGCTATGCGTTCGCTTTTCAATTCTATCGATTTGCCCTCGGGCCGAACGATTGTCTGTATTTTTGCCCGATTGACGATATGGAAAACTGTTTGAAGTAAGCTTTTGGGCAGAACTGTACTGGACTGTTAGCCGCGTTGTTTCAATTCATTAATTTTATTTAATTTGATGAAGGTATTAATTTTTTTTTGTTTTCCGAAGAGAATAATATATCTCGTGTTTTATAATCTTTTAGGTGCTGTTTTGTATATCTAAAAATTTTGTGAAGGATTAGAAAAAGGTTTTTTCTCCTGTTCAACGGTAGAATAGCTTAGCTGAAAAAAAACCCATTTCTCCTGCCCCCCGCTAATAGCCCTATACTGGCACGGTTCATCAGATCGGTAAGATTTCAGCCTGAACCAGGCCGATCTCAAAGGCAAGAAATGCGGAAGCGAAATGGACCACAGGCGAGCGACACATTATTACGATTTGGCCAGTGAGTAAAGCTGATTTTTTCTCGTATTCTTTGTAATATTGAAAGTACTTGTTGTAAGATATTTTCCAGTACTTTTTGTAAGTGTATTTTATTACTTTAGCCAGCTGTTTCCTGTATTTTGTTGGCCAAGCCTCGAACATCAGCTATCCAGGCCTATCTGGGCGTGTTTTTAAGATCGGTAAGGTACGACCGAGCCAATGAACATACCTTAATCTAGAAAAATCTACTCAAATTTACAATACTCCAGTACCGTGCGTGGATCTGGATGGTTATAATGTTTATTGGACATTGTCGTCGGATCGTAAGATTTTTTCGGGCTAAATTTCACGGAAATTCCTATAAAACGGATCGTATTTATGAATTTTCTTTAAGATTTTTCGCTTGGACTGCCATCAAATGTTTATGCAAAATCCGATGCTAGCGGAACTACGAGACTATACACTCAACTATTTTCAAATTTACGCGTAACAATCTATGCCCTATCGACAAGCTCGAAACAACCGGTCACCTTTTCTGGAATTTCTGCTGAAACTGGACAGAATGTATCGATCGGTTTAAGGTATATTTAATGCAGAAATTCGCATCAAAACTGGGCAAATCGATCCATATTTTAGTGACGTCTCCGACCCGATGGCCTTGCATTTCAAGGGGGAGGTGTCAATTAGCTATGCCCAAACGGCGGATACTTTTTATTACTATCACATGCTGGTCTCGAGGTATAATGGTAAGTTGCTGATAAATTTAATTAATGTATCCCCTAGATACGTCAACTTTCCAAAGTTGTCCTAATAACGGGGTGATCGATATGAGCAAGCAGAATCGGCTTCAGATATCGGGAATCGGTGGTGGGCAGGAGGGGTAGGATTTAAAAAATTCAAGAGCAAAAAAGAAAAATAAATTAATGGGCGAAAAATAATAGTGCTTTCCTAAATCACAACCAAGAGTTGGATCTTTGACAACAAAACTAATAGTCAGAAAAAATCAGGTTCGAATCCAGGCAAAGTTTATGGATGATAAAGATATTCAAATCTATTTTTACGCCTTAATAGTGACAGAAAACGCCGTTATGGGCTTTAGACTTAAAGTAATTTAATGGGCTGGAAAAAAACATTTAAATACAAATTAAACCGTGCTTTTTAGTTATAAAGCCAACACAAAATGCCATTGGACTTTTACCAATGCTCCCCCGAATTCCCAAGTAATGCTAAAAATCAATAGTTTCACGGAGAAAGCGGCGGATAAGGTGACGATAACTGGGACCAGTGCTAAGGTAAGGCTTCAGGAATTTTTTGCTAATTACCCTGACATTAACCAAAAAAAGCTTCAAACTTTCAGTCCCTCGGCTTCAGCGGCTACTACTCCAATTGGCTCATCTACGGTGATAGGAAGCAAAATAATTTGGAAGTGGATTTTGAGAGTGATGCCGTTGAAGAATATACCAAAATGACAATTGATGCGGCTGTAGTAGGTAAAAAATTAAACCTCGACAAAAATTGAAATTTTCGCTGTCCGGCTTCTGAAAAAAGCGTAAAAACTGCAAATTTAAGATTGCGGTCTTTTCAAAGTCTAAAATACACTTTTCAAGGCTCAAGGCTCAATTTAGCTATTATTTAGATTGTTCTTGTCCTCCAAACCAAATCAACATTACCACAGCGGAGGCAATGAACCTTACTATTGGATTTAATGGAGACTATCCATACTGTAGCGGCCTGGTTTGCCAGTGGACCATGTAAAAATGCATTATCTTGATCCAAACATAGCTGATTTCAAGCCAGCTTTTCTCGGAATCTAATTTGCTCCTGGAAATCAGACCCACCGACATTACCTTGCTCTCCCGAGCCGACTCGTTCAAGGCGGTGGCCACAAATGATAACTCCAGGTTCCGTACTCGTCGGTATTTTCTGCATAGTTCCAGCTCGGAAAAGCCGATCAACCTCCAAACCGGGGTAGCCGTGCAGTTACTGGATCGATACGCCAAATTCACATTCAATGCCTCCGCAGCGTCGTATTCTACCGCGAAAAATTTGGGCATTGCCGGGATTGTCCTTAACGTCAAGCCGATTCCGTGTAGGTGAATTTAGAACCGAAGAGGGATAGTGAGAGAAAACCAGCGAATTTTCGATTGAAAGAGATGGTGAGAGAGAGGGGCAGAGACAGAGAGAGAGAGAGAGAGAGAGAGAGAGAGAGAGAGAGGGACAGGGAGAGAGAGGAGAGAGATCGAGTAGGTGAACGAAAGAGCATGAGAGCAGGTGAGAGAGGGAGAGACAAGAAGGAAGATTCTGAGTGAGTGAGATGGAAAGCGAGAGATATAGATAGACAAAGAGAGACGAGGTAGAGCCTAAAGAACAAATCCTAAGAAAAACAAGCGAAGAAACAATATATTAGAGAGAGAGAGAGAGAGAGAGAGAGAGAGGATGCGAGAGAGCGAAAGAGAGAAGGAGCGAAGTGCTTTTACCATCTTTTAGTCGCCTCTTTCCGCGCCTACAAGTGGGAGTTCGACTCGCAGCACCAGATCCGACACATCTCCGGCGCCGCCCTGGACAAGCCATACGCCGCGGCCCACTACAGTTTCAACTCCGGTCATCAAGTAGTCCTTTTGACCATCTACGGCCCTTCCGCCGGCTTCCTGGTGCGATGGGAGTCCGATGGGCAGAATTTGGAGCAGCAGATCGAGGAGGCTTTCAAGTGAGTGATTACCTGATTACGACGAGCGCATTGCGTAATACCCATTTTGCAGCACAACCGGCACCTACCCTATCCAAATCCAAATTTCCACCAATAGCCTGACCTTATTAATGATTCGAACCGAGGACGGAGGCCCCGAATATAACGCGCTGGTTTCAGTAGGTACGATTGGGGCTTAGGCTTAGGCCTCGGCTTAGCCTTAAGCTTAAGTTTTTAATAATTTTCTATTTTTCCAAACGACAACAATTAACTTATCAGATCCGAACGTTCGTCTCGTGAGCAATATGGATCTGGGTTGCGGGGCCACGCACCCCTCCGCGATCATGCCGATGGACAATAAAACTACCATTTTCTATCAAGATTTTTCGGATAACACGGGCGTTGATGGGCTGAGTTTAAGTTATAACGGGGATCCTGATTTTGCGCTGTATCGCGGACCAACTACTCGCGATGAGGACCAGGTTTATGGGTAGGTGATTGAAACGGATTTATTTATCTCTCGCTCCCTCTCTCTCCCTCTCTCCCTCTCTCTCTCTGTCTCTCTCCCTCTCTCCCTCTGTCTCTTGCCTTCTCTCTGTTTTTACCCCCCCCCCCCTCTCTCTCTCTCTTCCTCTCTCTCTCCCTCTCTCTCTCTTCCTCTCTCTCCCTCTCTCTCTCTATCACTCTGTCTTTACCCCTTTCTTGTTCGCTCCGAATTCGAAAAGCCGTCATTTCAGCAGTGGCTTTTCCTGTGATCCTACAAATTGGCAATTAGGGCCCCCAAAGTTTGTTTTCGGCCGTTTCATCACGGTGATCAGTAACAAAGTTGATGCTAATAGCTCGATAAGTGTGTTCTGTGGCAGCAAAGGTAAAAATGATTTCTAGCTGAAAATACAACTCAGAAAAATCCCTGTGGGTGACGACGTTCACCACATCGAATGGGGTTCTGATGTCGCCAAGATACTCCCTGCCTTCCGACGCCGCGATGCGGTCCTACAGCTTTTCGGTGGAACATGTGAGGAAATGAGAGAGAGAGAGAGACATAGAGAGAGCGAGAGAGAGAGAGAGAGAATGAGCGAGTGTGAGAGAGAGAAACATTAGAAGATTCTAGACTGGGGCTGACAATCGGGAGATCCGCATCGATTTTTTGAGAAAAATTCCTCAAAATGGAACGCTAACGATAATCGCGTCGGATTCAAAGGGCTCCAAAACGGAAGTGTCAGTTTAATAATGCCACTTTAATCAGCAAAAACTTCCCACTTCAAAAATTGAAAATCACAATTATAGTTTCGACTCCAAAAGTCCAACCTGCCGAGCCAGCTACAAATATTCGAGGCTGTTGATGAATTACGATTGGACGTGCGACTCGATATATGGTTGTGGGCCCGACTTGCTATTACAGTAACCTTAGTCTCTAAATTTTTCTGAGTTTTTAGATATTCACCCGGTGATACTTATACCACTGGTGGCGTCGGAACTGATTTGCCAAAGCTCGCAATCGTTTTATTCATTTTGTTGCACGGATTTGTTATTTGAGAAGATAAAAACCTTCTAGATTCACGGGGGTGTTCAGCTCGACGTGCAGACCAGGCTGGAGACCTGAAACGGAGGAAGACTTTGTACCTGAAATATTAGCATACCCCATTCTTCTCGATCGCCTTGCATTTCATGCCTCCGAGCATGAACTCCTGGACTTTCGGGGCAGGCTCCTGTACTTTCTCAGCTTCCTGAAAAAGCAAAAAATATATGACCTCGCTCTCTCCCTCTATCTCTCTCTCTCTCGCTCTCTCTCTCTCTCTCTCTCTCTCTCTCTTACACTATTTCTTGATTTCACTAACCTTTTTCGCGGGCAATATCTCCACCTCAGCTTCGGGCTTCTCATCATTGACTTGAGTCCGATGCTCGTGCACCATTCCCTGGTCCTAAACCAGGGTTGAAAAGCCGCTTCGCGACTTTTCAACCCTGGCCCCGACTTATCCAATGAGAGTTCTCAATTTGCATAATTCTCCCGAACCGCGCTTTGAAAAAAATAAAAAATACGCCTTCGGCCCCTTTATATAGACTTTCTCGCTTCTGGCGTATGCTAATTATTCCCTAACAAAGCGGGGGACCGAAATTTTTACAAAAACTTAATTTTAATGTCGAAAATAGCACTTTTTCGACAATTTGACATGTGTGCAGGCGTCTCGAGACGATTACACATCTAATGACGTATCAAACATACTCTGAAACCCTTTCTCTATCGAGAAACGACTGGAACATACCGACGGAAGTTGCATGCAAAGATACACACACACACACACATACACCATTTTTTATATTTTTAGAGAATTTAAAGTGTCATAATCCAAAGCTACGCACCGTTCCAAAGAACGTATCGGACTGACTAAACTTGGCGGAATTGGTTTGCGTCAGTGTGCCGTTTTCCATCATCCATGCCGGCTGTGTACTTTCATCCTGAAATGCGCAACTTATCGAGGAAGTTCGAGAGAGACAGAGAGAGAGAGAAGAGAGAGCGGGAGAGCGACGGCGGACAGAAAACTTACCTCCTCCTCCAACTGAACTTCCTTTTGCTGAAATTTGGCCTTGTGAGTATCATCAACCTTTCCATTCTCAATAACGGCAGCCGGCTGGAGTTCGGGCTCATGTAAATTGATGTTATTGGACTTTCAGGAATGAGTTTTACCTGATTTTTCCAGAAGCTCCGCCCAAGACCGAGCCTGAATCGGGGCACCTGAGGCTTATCTAGCTTCAATTTCTCTCTAGGTTCAGCGGACGTTTCAACGGATTTTGTCTAAAATTGAAGTATTTACCAGATCTATGTCTGCAAATTACAAGGTCGCCGGTTGGCAAGCTGCCAACGAATCTGCCGACGCCGTCACTGTACCCAGAAAATGGGTCATTTAGTGCTTGATATTGCGCGACTTGATATTGAGCCTCCAGCTGACGTTGGAGCTGAAAAAGATAGTTAAAAATTGAGGTTATGAAGATTCAACTTCCAATTTTTATATGCAAAAATTAAAATTTTGTTAAGCTATGTCCTAGCATTTTTCAAAATTTCATACGAAATTTACTAAAACTGCAATTAATACAGTACGTCCTCGGGTTCAATTTAAAACTCACATGCGCCAGCCGCCCCGAAATATAATCGTCCATCATTCCAAAATTTTGGCCAGAGGCCAAGGCTACCAAAAGGCCAAAAACCACGAATTTCAGCACCGTCATTGCAGTGAGTTTCAGGGTCAATATGCTGACCCGTTCGCCAACTTTCTTAAATAGGCAGGATGATGAGAAATAAACAAAAACTGTCGGCGGGACCGGTTTGTTAGGCCGGGCGCCCCAAAATCGATGCCAGGATTTTGGGGTGGTCAGCCGGGGCAAGGCGGCGAATTACAAGTATTGGCCTGGGAATATGGTTTTGAGGGACGATTTTGTTGGGAAACTGATCAAAAACTTGGAGAGAGAATGCGAGAGAGAGAGAGAGAGAGAGAGAGAGAGAGAGAGATGGAACGAGCGCGAGAGAGCGAGAGAGTGAGAAGCGCGAGAGAGAGAGGGAACGAGAGAGCTAGAGAGAGTGAGAGAGCAAGAGAGAGTAAGAGGGAGTATGAGAAAGTGAAAGAGAGAGAGATAGAGAGAATGAGAGAGAGTGAGAGAGAGAGAGAGAGAGAGAGAGAGAGAGTGAGTGAGAGGGCGACCTGAGAGATGGTTCCGTTACTTTCCAAAATGGCTTTATTCAACTCCACAGAATATTCGAATTAGAAAACAAGATCGTTTTCCGGTCTGGCCATCGATAGCTGAATTTGAGTGGCCGTCAACGGCTCGTGCCGTCGACTCGTGGAGTACGAATTTTCCGTTTGCCGGTCCGTCCGAGTGTGCCCTAGAATGATATCGTAGCAAGATTTTGATGATAGAAACCATGTGAGTTCTTCAAAATCCCTTACGTCCTAAACCCATATCTTCCCCGCCGTCTCCCCGCTTACCGATCGACGTTCCTGATCCACGACATTTTCGTGCGAATTCCCGATTGAACGCGATGGCGACCATTCTGAAATTCGGGATTTATTCGGCGCTAAGGCACTGAAAAGAAGAAATTAAAACCTTACCCATCAATTGCGTGCACAAGAATCCAGGCCAGCGTTGTCAATAAGAACTTGAGTATCTTCGCCTCCACCCACTGGGAGAAGATGAAGTAGGTGGCGAGCTCAAGGAGGAATATCGAGCCCTGGAGACAAGCCTGAAAAAGGCTTTTTTTTGCTTGAAATTTTTGAATTTGTGTGGCTATGAAATTCTTATCAAATTTTGAAAGCGGCAGGCAACGCACACGCTCGCGTCAAGCGTAAACAGCAAAAACACAATTTTGTGGTGGTAATAAGGCCAAAACGATGCCGTAGCCAAGGTAGTCCATGTCGCGCCCCTTTAAAGGGATACCCAACCTTTTCCCAGCTCAAAAAGCAAAAACCATGACGGGGGCGGGGGTCGAACCCGGGAGCCCCGTTTTGTAAGCCTGGAAGCTATCCATTAGGCCATAGTGGCAGGCCATTGGATGGGATGGGGACGCCACCAGGGGGAAAGGTGGCCGAATTCTGTGCGGCATTGGGGGCCCATTGCCGCACAAAATTCGAGCGTCATTTGTACTGCCCGGAATCCATAACTATATATTTGCCGCCAAAACCTTAGGTATCCCTTTAAGGCCTTCACAAACTACTCCGCGGTTTTAAATGGTTTTTTCAGACAGTATTTCCAGAACTGAATTCTTTCTCAAGTACCACCAATGCGGCTCTACTACCTGTGTGACAAAGTGGATCTCGTTTTTATTTCGTGCCCGTGTCTGCGCGTCGGAAATCCGGTCGATCAGCTAAAAAAAAAAACGAAATAATTTCGTGTGAATTTCGTGTGAAACTTGGCGAACCTGGCTCTCATGAATCCGGCATTTCACAAAAGTGATCAGATCGAGGAGAACGATAAGGGCTATTGTGGCAACGGTCTTGTAGACGTCGTACCACCTAGAAATTAATAAAAGGATCGATCTATTAATGCGCCTGAAAGCGCCTTATCTGCGTTAGAAAAATCATTAATGCGCATTATGAAATCGTGAGTTTCATTAATGCAATACCATCCGATCGGACCGCAAATTTCACCACCAGCAAAAACGTAACCCCAAGATTCGTTGCTGTAGATGAGGCGGCAGTCGGCTAAATTAATTACATTTTCATTAACTCTATATTCATGTACTTAATAAATCGATACCTATTCGATAAGCCCAAATACTCGGCAAAAACGCGTACTGCCAAGCGAGAATGTTCAAAAAAAAAGCACATTTCTCCGTGTGAAAAAGTAGTCGTAGTGCAGCGGAAAGAATATAGCGGTTACGCGGTTTAGGGAGATGAAGAAGTGGCTTAAATTAATATAATTTATTACTGACTAAAAGCCGATATTACCTAGCGTTACAAGCATCATAGCAAATCAACTGAAAATGCCCGAAATAAGCCGATACCTCAGCGGTTTTTAGTAACGTTAATTTCCTGAAAATCAACGTTGAATTTTTATAAAATTCTTACAGCATTAGCATAGGAGAAAAATAGAATAGAAAGCCGCAGCCATGACAGAATCCGGCAAGGGCTTGATTTCTGGCGAGTCGGCCGAAGGAATTCTGAATTTTTGAATTTTTAAGGTATCCTCAAGCCGTAAAATTTTGATTTCTGTTGTAATTTTGCTAACAATACTTAGAAGAAATTGCTAAACGATAATTTGTGGCAAAAAATTCTAAATTAAACCCAAAGCCAAACCTGCATCGACGGCAATTTCGTGACCCACCAAACCACGGCTCCATTAGCGAGAATTCCGCTGAGCGAGGCCTAAAAATTATTGTATATACACGGCATTAAATAAATAAAGTCTAATCAGCATATTTGGCTATGCTTTAAACGTCGATATACAATTAAGAAAATACATGGCTATTATTTTGAAAAACCTACAATAAACACGAAAAACCCAGCAATCTGGGACGGTTCGAGCACAATCGGGAGCATGAGCTTCGAAAACGTGGCGGAATGAAGAAAGTAATCTGGAAAAGACCGCTCCCTCACTGACTCACAATGGACATCCCATACTAATCAACCGTGAATTTTGCACTTGGCCGTGGAGGGTGAAATCGCGAGTAGCGTCGTGGACTCCCTTTCAGCAGTTTCTTTCAGCGTTGTTCGGTTGAAAGCAACGAAACGAGATTCGTCTCATTCTTTGAATTTGAATAGCGGACTTTTTTTCACGTTTTACTTCGCGGCCGAGGCCCAATTAGAGACGCCGAGGCGAGGCCAGACGCAAGTTCGGGCAGTCCAGACGCCAGTGTATTTGGAGAGTTCAGTGCAGGATGAAAATTGGATTGGGTTGTGGTTTGCTCTTCTGCTCAATCAAATTAGGGTTGCCGCATAGGGTCGAAATTCTATTGCGTTTGTAAAATTTGTAAATCGTGAAAAAAGCAAAATTGGTACCAAACGTTAACGCATCGCACTTTATGCATCAGTTCCCGTGGTACGGATCGGGCTTATATGGAAAATTGTGGAGTTTTTTCTTGCATAGATTTAGGTGAATCTGCCTTTCTCAAATATGGCATTAGTTAGAGGTCATTAGTTTAGTTAGTACCGTTACCGTATTTCCTCTAATATAGCGCCCCTTTAATATACAGGGTGTCCCAAAAAAAAGACCTCAAAAATTTGAGCCAGAGGGCACCTACCTCCCAAAAAATTTTTCCGAGGTACTTCAGAAGGAAAAAAATGCAAACAACGTTATCTATCGCATCGCGTCACTTTTCATTTTGTCGGCTATTTTGTCAATTTTCTTGTCTGCCTGTATTACGAAAATATTTATCAAAACCATCCCGACGACGCCACTTCAAGGCTACTTCTTTTGAATATCGATCGCCACGCTGTGAATGGTGAGAGCTGCGGCTGTTCCAGTAGTGTTCACCTGGCTCGAACGATAATCCGAAGCGACACGGCGCTGCTTCGAGATGAACACTTTTCCTGAAATCGATTTTTCCAAAACCAACCGACGACATGACGCCTATTTTCATAGATCGGAAGCTCGAATATTCAAATCAGCCAAATATCCACTTACGGATGAATTCCTTGTTGAAGAGGATGGCGATAAACCTGAAAAAAATAAAGTGCAAATACGATAACCCAGGACAGATCAAAATTCGGGCAGATTTTCAAATTCTTAAACTTGTGAAACCCACCCATCAAGCGAGTGCACCATAATCCAGGCAATCGTCTTGAGGCCAAACTTGGCCAACTTGCTGTCGGTCCAGTTGACGAACACAAAATAGGTGAGCAGCTCGAGGATGAAGATAAAGGCTTGGACGAATGACTGGAAAACGCGATAAATTTTCTCTATCTCCTCTCTACTCTCTCTCTCTCCCTCTCTCTCTCTCTTCTTTCTCTTCTCTTTCTCTCTCTCTGCCTCACGCTTACTCTATTATCCTTCCCTCTCTAGCTCTATCGCCCGGTCACTTCCCGATACGACAAGTACTGTACCTATCATAGTCTCGGGTACGCTACGTATTTTGACGTACAATTAAGACAAACCTTCAAGTCTCCCATACAAATTTGGAACGCTCACAGGCCAATTTTAAGGAGCAAGAGCCTTATTTCAAAGAGTTGTGAAAAATCGCTCCGGGAAGAGGGAGAAAGAGGGGGAGAAAGAGGGGAAGAGGGGGAGAAAGCGGGGAGAAAGAGGTGGAGAGAGAAAGCGAGAGAGAGAGAGAGAGAAACGGAGAAGAATGATAGAGACGAAGAAAGAGGGAGAGAGAGAGGGGGAGAGAGAAACTGCAGTGTTAACGGACCTGCGTGACAAACGTGATCTCCATGATTTTCCGATTGCGCGCCTGCGTATCTGTCGTGAGGCGGAGTAACTGGAACCGAGTGAATTGCTGGCTCAGAAACCTTAAAAATTACTTGTCTTCCATGTACCCGACATTTCAAGAAAGTACACATATCCAAGAATGCGATAACCATCGTGAGGATAATTCCTTTATGGACGACGAAGGCCCTTGAAGAGAATCGGTTTTTAGGCTACTTGTTATTTTTTCATTGAAATAAATTACCTTAATTTTTTTCTGTTTTTAATATAATAAATGATAAAAATGATTATATTCTTAAATTGAGTAATATTATTTCATACGAATGAAAACGAACAACGGACTCACATCCCAATCTTAAAACACAGCTCCGTATTCAGGAATACGACTCCCCAGACCTCTTCACCATATTGGATCCGACAGTCCGCTAAATAAATTGTCTATCTCCGACCAAACGGTATGCACAGTACCCCATCGCAAAAAGTAGAAATTCAACCCGATTGCCACCGCCCACACCAGAAAATTGATGAGGCGCACACGATTCTTGGTGAATGTCATGTCGTAATACATTGGGAACCAGATGGAAATGATACGATTGAGGGAAATGAATAAATGGCTTAAAAATAAAGTTATTTCAAAGGAATGGTACTTACCAATAAAGACAAGCATCATAAAAGGTGTCCTCAAGCTGCCCAAACCAACTCGAGATTTTTGAGTCTTTCCAGGATTTTATGTCACTAAAATACAATTTTTTAAAAACTTTTTTTTTATGTTGGTGTGATCATGATTTTTGGAGATAATATAGTATTGCGAAGGTTACTTACAAATATAGCATCGGAGCAAAGAAGAAGAAATATCCGCAAGCATGCAGAAAGCCAGTCAGCGATTGATTTCTCGCGATTCGGCCAAATGGGTTCTGCAATCATCGTGTCCCCGCTGTTTGAAAAAACCTGTGTGATTACCCTATGGTTAGCTACTGTAACTACAGGGTGTCCCAAAAAAAATCGACCCCCCTCTAGCGGACCGCATAAAGCTCGGATCGGAATGATTTTCACACCATTCGAAAGCCCTTCAAACGGTGAGAAAACAAGCGCCTTTGGTTTTCCAAAAAATTTTAGCCTTCGCTCGATATTCAATGATTTCTGTAAAAAGCGTAAAACCAGCATCGTCCTGTTTGCTTTAGCAAGCAATTAACATGCCGATTTTGCATAAAATCTGCAGTTTTCATCGATTTTGGCCCTAAATTTAATGAATTAAAATTCCCATATTGAAAAACGAAAAGTGCTTGTTTTCTCGCCTTTTCGAGTGCTTTCGATAGATATCTAAATCGTCAAAATCGGACATGACTGCGGGCCCGCTAGAGGAGGTCGATTTTTTTGGGACACCTGTATACCATGAAGGCTTCTATACAGGGTGTCCCAAAAAAAGACATCGGCCGTATTTCTCTATTTTGGGTCCGGCCAACTTGAAATTTTTGCACAGGGTAGCGAAGTCAATTTCCCATGAACACAGAAAGTTTCAGCCCCATCGGTCAGCGGATTTTAAAGTTATAACGAAAATACTTTTTATTTTTTATTTAATATGGGGATCCATGCAATTTGCATCAAAAATGTGCGTAATTTTGTCATTTACGAGCTGATTTGCATAATTTTGCCGAAAAAGGCCATTTGCAGTTTTGCGCTTCGTAAGAACGATTGCGCATGACAAACAAAATACGGTGAAAACAGCAGCTTTTTGAGCACTCAAACACATTTTATTGAAGTTTTGGTCAGTTGGGCCTGCCTTGGACTCGGAGCAGCGTTCGACCAGCTCCAAATTAATGCCTAAATCCAAATCGAGGCTTGAAATCTATGCGTAAGCCGAGAAATAAATTAAAACAACCGGTGAACGTATGTTACAATACTGGTTTCTTATATCTGACGGTTTTGTGGATCATTTTTACTTCCCATGCGCAATCGTTCTTACGAAGCGCAAAACTGCAAATGGCCTTTTTCGGCAAAAATTATGCAAAATCAGCTCGTAAATGACAAAATTACGCACATTTTTGATGCAAATTGCATGGATCCCCATATTAAATAAAAAATAAAAAGTATTTTCGTTATAACTTTAAAATCTGCTGACCGATGGGGCTGAAACTTTCTGTGTTCATGCGAAATTGACTTCGCTACCTCTGTGCAAAATTTCCAGTTGATCGGACCCAAAATAGAGAAATGCGGCCGGTGTCTTTTTTTTTGGGACACCCTGTATATAAACGGTTTCAGTATCCACATTCAGTTCAAATTTAATAAAATTAACGATCCGCAATAGGCGAATTTTGTTCTTCCAAACACCAACTTACATAACGCCCTGAATTGGCTTGCCAATTACCAAAATCCCCCCCCCCAAACCCCCCCCCCCAAAATTCCCCCCCGAATCCTTTAAATTAAAGGTCTCCCGCTTTTTAGAAAATTAATATAAATGCTAAATTTAGTTTCAAACTCAGAAGTTTTATCTTTTTTGATGCCAACCTGCATCGACGGCATCTTCGTGACCCAACAAAACACGACACCATTTGAGAACATCCCGGAAAGGGAGGTCTAGAAATAGACTATCTTTAAAAGCGCTAAAATCCGCTTACCACCCATACCAAAATGCTAGCAACTCTATGCGGCTCCAGGTCAAACATTACTGCAAAATTTATTACTTTAAAAACTCATTAGCCAGACGAACATAAAAAAGACCACACAAAAGCCTCCTCTTTTGGCACAAAGCGTGCTAAAAAATTCAGAACCGACAGCGACTGGATCCACAAATTAACCGCGGTAGTTTTTATCCCAAATTTTGTAGTGGTTCGGAAACTCGGGGGGAGGCTGATTCCAAGTTCTGTGGGAGCCGACAACGCCGACCGATCCTCAGAACGGGCGTCTATGAGATTTTCACATTCAGAAAGTTAGTTCTATTGGGATTTTGATGGACATACGGACTCCGGATCATTGGCACGGGAGACAGTGGCTGGTCATTGAAAATTGCAGCATGGCTAAACTTTGAAGCCAAAATTGATGGAAAATCTATTATAGCCGGTCTGATTAAAAATATGTAACTTACGCATGAGTGAGAAAGCGAGCGGAAGAGAGAGAGGGAGCAGACAGAGAGAGAAGGAGAGACAGAGAGAGAGAGAGAGAGAGAGAGAGAGAGAGAGAGAGAGAGAGAGAGGGCCGAGGGAGATAGAAAGCGAGAGAGGGAGAGGGAGGGAGTGAGAGAGAGAGAGAGAGAGAGAGAGAGAGAGAGAGAGAGAGAGAGAGAGAGAGAGAGAGATAAAGAGAGAGAAAGAGACGGAACACTTCTCGTGTGCAATCCACAAAATCAAAAGCCTATTCGAGAACTGTGAATAAGCTCTATCCAAGGATTCAGCTGCTGAAAAAATACCGACTGCCGGATGAGTTTTGTTTTCTATAATTTGCCCGGCAGGGATTGTATTTGGCCCCGTTTCCGTAAGATGACGCATCATAAAAATCGCGAAAATTATAAGTTCACGAAGTGCGGGTGGGTACCAATTGAGCGCTCCCATTGTTTCAAGGGTTGTTTTAGAGGTCATTAGCGTCTGCAGAGGGTGGAATCGGCCACGCAAAGACGGTAAAAGTTCATCGCCGTTTTTGTGGCGTATAATTTTAACCATTTTTCGAACACTTTACGAAGCAATGGAACAAATGGTATGCAAGGTCAAAGCGCAAGTTGAAGTTGTGCGTGCGCAAATGCGTAGTTGAAAATGCGCAATTGAAAAATATTGTCTCCGAGCTGGGGCACGGCTGTCCTCAATTTTTTATGATGGTGGGAGGGCAGAAATTAAGCCGAATCCCCAACTTTTAGACGACGTCTATATTTTGGCCAGCATATCGCAATAATTGCTAGGAACTTCCACGAATTGATAACAAATTTTTTCCGGGCAGCTTCTCAGAAGTTCTCAGTAATTTACTACTTATCCGATCAAACCTCAGGAAATACCGTACGCTAGCAGCTTACTCGTTTTCTTCCGTATTCCAAAAAAAATTATCCGTCCCCAGATGCACTTTGCATGTGCCTAAAATAAATTTGTAAATCGCGCCGTTCTAGTTGGTGCATACTAATATTTTCCAAAAACGAAGAATAAAAAAATTCACAGAGCTGAAAAATGGCTTGCAATTAAAAACACTTCCGCGTCGCGGGGAGTTTCACGTCTACTTCGAATTCGTGCACCGCGACGGGTTGCTGATATCCAAAAAACAAACCACAACTATCGCACGGTGATACGCTAATTGCACCACGTTTCCCAGGGAAATCATCGAAAATGCTTTCCCGCCAAGGGCAAGCATTTTCAGCTCCGTGAGTTGTTATGTATATTTTTGAAGAGGGCCGATAAGTACAGAAATTCGCCGGAACGTAACGCTTCAGTAGGCCTTCAAAGCCAATCTTAGTGTATATAAAATTCTATCGAAACCTTATATTTATCTTGTTTTTACAGTTTCTTTTCGGCGTCGACGGGCTGGCTGTCGGTGTTTAAGGAATCGACGTTTTGCGCAATTTTGGCCGGGCTGGAGCTATAGCGCAAAGTGAGTCGTTGCTTCGAGTGGTAGATTTTGCCTGAAAAAATATTTCTTTGGAAAATTCGACACAATTTCAGCATTAATAAACTATTTTAATTCTTCAGCAATTCTTAGATACGGTTTAAACTCTTTGACTTACGTATGAATTCCTTGTTGAAAAGGATGGCGATGAAACTAAAGATGGCGTAGTGCAAACACCGCAAAAAAAATTAGACTTACCCATCAAGTGAATGCACCATGATCCAGGCGATGGTCTTCAGGGCGAACTTGGCCAACTTGTTGTCCGTCCAGTTCACGAACACGAAATAGGTGAGCAACTCGAGGATGAAGATAAAGGCTTGGACAAACGACTGGAAAATTGTTTATGATACTACCGAATGCTGACTTTTAAGATAGAGAACCTTGAGCGAATGGATGCGAGAGAGTGTGAGGCAGAGAGAGAGAGAGAGCGAGAGAGTGAGAGCGAATGATAGAAAAAAACTACCAACCTGCGTCACAAAGGTGATTTCCATAATACGCCGATTACGCGCCTGCGTATCCGTTGTATGTCCGAGCAGCTAAACCTCAAAAAGGATTGGTTTTGCTATTGAAATTCTGCTTTTCTGCCATGGACTCTGCACTTCAGAAATGTGCACAGATCGAGCGAGGCGATGATCATCGTTAATATAATGCCTTTATGAACGACGAAAGCCCTAAAATCGTGAAGATAGAGGTGGACGCGGTACGCGACGCGCCGCTGGACCACCTAATGGCATCCGCGTTGCGGATCTGTACCTTTAAAAACTCACATTCCGATTTGGAAGCACAACTCGGTGTTTAGGAAAACGACTCCCCACACATATTCACCATACAGTATCCGGCAGTCCGCTACAACCCGAATTTTCAATTTTGTTTCCCAAATTACCCAGCCGTAAAAAGTAGAAATTCAGCCCAACGGCCAAGGTCCACACCATCAAATTCATAAAGTGTACACGATACTCGGTGAAAATCTTGTCGTAATACGTTGGATACCAGATCGACGTGATACGATTCAGAGATATTAATAGATGGCTTGAAAAATATAATAAATCAGAACAAAATCAGACTAAAAATGCTCCTACCAATATAGACAAGCATCATAAAAAGTATTCTCAAGCTGCCCGAACCAGCTCGAAACACTTGGGTCCTTCCAGGCCTTGATGTCGCTAAAAATAGTTTAAAAAATGTGGTTTATAATGGCCTACAAGTACAGCATCGGGGCAAAGAAGAAGAAGTATCCGCAAGCGTGTAGGAAGCCGGTCAGAGATTGGTTTTTAGCGATACCGCCGAAGGGGTTCTAGGATTTGGTTGGTTTCCTAACGTCTTTCTCTCTATCTCTCTTGCTCACTCTCTCTCTGTCTCTCTCTCGTCGCTCTCGCTCTTTCATTCTCTCCCGCTCTCTTTCTCTCTTTCTCTCTCTCTCTCTCCCTCTCTCTCGCTCCTAACCTGCATCGACGGCATCTTGGTCACCCAGCAAAAGACGAAACCATTTGAGAACATCCCAGAGCAAGAGGTCTAAAAGTTCCGTGATGCTACACTTTACACCCTTTCAAACACTCCGCCCTAGAAACCAGGATATGTAACCTACCGCCCAAACGAGAATGCTCGCCACCTTATGCGGCTCCAACTCGAACATTACTGAAATATGATGTTGATTTTATTTGATGAGAGAATGGCCGGCTGAGCGAATTTTCAGGCCAAATTCAGGATTTGAAAGATGATGACTTCCAAAGGTAAGCCGACCTTGTTAGACTCTGAAAGAAGTCTCTAAAAATCACGGTGCTCATTTCTGAAAAAATGAAAAGATGGCGATTTTTCGCGATAATGAGCCTTTTCGAGCCACTCGGCGGCAATCAAATTGGCGCCTGGGGACGTAGGTTGGCGGGCTTATGCTGTCGGTAAAATATCAAGGACCGGATATTGTGTAGTCACCTTCACTGCCAAAGTTCAAAACATTTTGGCTAATTTTATCGGGGGGCTTGTTTTTGAGTCTGCGGAACTTGGTAAGTCTTTGCTAGGTAATGGGAAGCCTCGGAAGTATCTAGCGAACGAGAGCGAGAGAGAGAGAGAGATAGAAGAGAAACAGCGAGAGAGGAGTGAGTGAGAGTGCGAGAAGAGAGAGAGAGAGAGAGAGAGAGAGAGAGAGAAGGCGAGAGCGAGAGCAAGAGAGAGATAGAAGAGAAACAGCGAGAGAGGAGTGAGTGAGAGTGCGAGAAAGAGAGAGAGAGAGAGAGAGAGAGAGAGAGAGCGCGAGAGCGAGAGCAAGAGAGAGATAGAAGAGAAACAGCGAGAGAGGGAGTGGAGTGAGAGTGCGAGAAAGAGAGAGAGAGAGAGAGAGAGAGAGAGAGAGAGAGAGAGAAGGCGAGAGCGAGAGCAAGAGAGAGATAGAAGAGAAACAGCGAGAGAGGGATGAGTGAGAGTGCGAGAAAGAGAGAGAGAGAGAGAGAGAGAGAGAGAGAGAAGGCGAGAGCGAGAGCAAGAGAGAGATAGAAGAGAAACAGCGAGAGAGGAGTGAGTGAGAGTGCGAGAAAGAGAGAGAGAAAAAGGGGAGAGAGAGAGAGAGAGAGAGAAGGCGAGAGCGAGAGCAAGAGAGAGATAGAAGAGAAACAGCGAGAGAGGAGTGAGTGAGAGTGCGAGAAAGAGAGAGAGAGAGATAGAGAGAGAATTAAAGAGAGAGAGCGAGAGAGAGACTGCGAGAGAGATAAAGAGAGAGCCAGAGCAAGCGAGAAAGATAGAGAGTGAATGCGTAGTAGAAATACTTTTTTATAATTAATTGCAATTTTAATTATAACAAATTAACGCCGTAATCGATTTTATTAGAGATGTCGTTAACTTTATTGTGATGCTAATTAAAAAAGGAAAAGCATGTCATCACTTTATCTCGTCTGTATATGGCAGTGTATCAAAATTGGAAATAAGTACAATTCAAATTAGGCATGTCGCCTGCCGCGTGAGGAATTCATCATGGGCTGAGAATTCTGAGGTTGAGCCTGCGAGCTTTGTTGCGGCTGTCCATTGAAGTATTGTGGAGATTGGCCGCTCTGGCTGTTGCTCATTCCTTGCTGCGCCGGAGTGAGTGGAGGGCAGATGGGGCCCCGCCGATGGAGTCGAAGAATTTTTTGTTGAGGGCTTGGGTTTCCTAAAACAGTCGTAAAAATTTTAGTTGTTTAGGGTACTGTATTCCTAGAAATCGCCAAATATTACAATAATTAATGAATTACTATTATAAGTAACGTTGAAAATTTTTTACTGACCTGAATCCTCGTCTGATTCGTATATTTATCCCCTTGGTAGTCGGGCAAGTATCCCGGCTGGCAAGTGGTGCATCCGCCACCACCGCTGTTTTGGCCTAAAAATTATAGTTCGGTTTTTCCGGTAGATTTTAATGATTAGGCTATGATAACCCGATAATAAAAGCCGTAATTATATAAATTAAAAGGTGGTTATAAAACTCTATGGCTACGGGCTTACTCTGATCTTTCTGTGCGGTCATTGTTGTCTGGGCGGCCAAGGCGAAGCATAGAAATGCGGAGGTGACGATAAGCCTGGAAAAATTATTCAAGCCTATCTCAATGCATAAAAATAGATTCTTGTTCCTGAAAGTGACGAACGTCTTTTTAAAATTGTTTGATAATTTTTTTAAAGTATTTTAGATGAATTTTGGGTTGAAATTATGTGTTTTCGACAATTTTCAAGCGTAATTATATTAATCTAAGTCTGTTAAGGCATTACGGTAGCTTATTTGATATTATTTTTGAATTTTTGCGCTAATTTTTCACTTACAATCTCATCTTTAAGGTATAAGAAGGAGGGGGGCCAGCCCGAAGTCGAAAGAGTAATGGCGGATCACTGCCCCTCCCCCCCCCCTTTTTATATGGGCCATGGACCCGGAGGAGGTCGACGCCCCAACTTCAACCCGCGGCGAACACTGGTCCCGCCCCGAAAATAGGGCATTTGAGAGGCACGAAGAGGGCCCCTATCGTCCAATGGCAAATAGAGGCCCATCCCCGCGGCGCCATGCCGGTCGATGACCGTTCCGCAGGGCTGCAAAAATACTGTGAAAACCTGTACCTGGTGGTACTTTGAATTTAAGGTATCTGGGCGTATTTAGGGTGCGGAGCACAATACAATAATTCTCTAGGTTTGCGTATAAGACTTTAAAGGCATAAGGACGGCGTCCTCTGTCTGTCGGTATTTAAAGCGCACGTTCAGGGAGGGGCCGTGTACTCGTCCCAACGTGTACACCCTATCGACGTAGGGACCGCGCGCACTGCCTGCCCGTGCTGTGACAGGCCATTCGCCTCCTTTGCGGCGTGGGGCGCCCCTCGCCCCCTTGCCAGGTTGTAGCTGTGGCTGACTGGTATCCATCCGCGCCTCCCGAGCGGGGGGCCAGGGTTCGACCCCGGGCCGCGGCAAAAATCTTTGCTTTTTCCAAAAAACGTCCCTGAACGTGCCCTTTAAAACCCACATTTCTCCTCCGTCGTGGTATGAGTCTCCTCTACATCTTCATACTGCCCATTCATGCCGACGTTGTGCCTCTAGGGTGTGGAGCTCAATACCATAGTTGTCCAGATTTGAATATCCCAGTCGGGGTTAGCGGGCGTAGCCCGCTAACCCCTTTTGGTTTGAGGTACCCCCCCATACGACTCTTTTGGGGTCCTTTTCCGGATTTAAAAAAGAACCAAGCATCGGATCGCGAAACTAAATACACCATCGGAACCGGCGACACTTTTTGCATACTATAAGCTTTTAAAAATTGAAAAAGAGTTAAATTTCGAATTTTAACAGCCGATTTAAATTGCGTTTCGAGGGGGGGGTCTGCGTTTGTACGTCTGTATGCCCGCAAAACCTTTGTAGTCGTCAAAAAGTGTCTTCCCATCATCCGTTTGGGCTGAAATTTTTTACAGTTATTGGGTTAATGATAATCTCGGACCGCAAGAAGAGTTTTTTTCAAAATAGGCTTTTAAAAAATTTATATTTAATTTTTAAGTTTAAAAGCTAAATTGCGGTCAAAACAAGGGTTAGTGATGTCCATTTGGGCTGAAATTTTGCTCAAATATGCATTAGACCTTGCCGGAAAAAGTAAAGAAGAAATTGCATCGAAAGAATGCTTCTTCTCTGAGATATTTTAACTTTAAACCTTCGCCATACGGGGCGCCATCCTCCCCTTTCGCGGCCCCAGTCCCCAGTCAGGGGGGCGGGTCTAGCTCCCCCAAGCCAGGCCCCCCGTCTCCCCGTTGGCCTAGTGGTTAGCACGCTGTACTGGGAAGACTTGCCGCCCGGGTTCGAACCCCACCCGCGACATGGTTTTTGCCGATTGGCCCGAATGCATCGTTATGGTTTCTAGTGCCGTCCCAAAGCGCCGCAGGCAAATTTTTTGAGGTTTTGCGTACAAGGGTTTATCTGAATGAGTATTCCTTGGCTTATTTTACGATCTTAACAATAAGATTGAGGCAAAAAGGGCTAAATTCTCTCTAAGGCTAAAAAGAGTCTTTTAAAAAAAGGGCTTTTGGTTTTCCATAAAGAGAAGATTCTCGTGGCAACAAAAAGTGCTAAATTCCTTTCAAACTCTTAAAAATGCCACAAAATGTGGGATCAACCAAAAGTTGCTGGCACCTCATTAAAATGGACAGATCCAGTTTCTAGCGGTTTCGGCTTGCAAATAATTCCTGTATTATGATCTATTTACACCTTCTTGAAATTAATCTGTGGACCTGACCTGTGATCTGGGATGGTACTGAGTTTATTAAGGTTTTAAATAGCCAGCAACTTTTGTTGATCCCCATTTT